CGGTCCCGTCCGTCCGTCCTAACTAGTACTACTACTTACGTTACGTTCTACTAGTAGTACTACTACTACTACTACACTACTACACTCACTACCTCTCTCTCTCTCTCTCTCTCTCTCTCTCTCTCGCATGGGTTAAAATTAATCCCCCTTAACCACCAAGACTCACCTCAAAGGCTTGCATTCCAAACCATAACAAGTATAAAAGTTGCCATCAAGTTTTTAACCATCTAATTCTTACCTTTCTTGCCCGCCATTTCCATCGTTCTTTCTTTATGAAAACATAGTAAAGCTCACAATGAATCCTCTCCTAGAAAGTATTTTGGGCATCGAAAATCTCCATGATGCTCTAAAATCAATTTTCGGTAAATTTAAAGCTAAAAAAATAGTATAGATCTTGTGAATTTGTAAACACTTATTTTTAGGGAAAAATGGATGGTCCAGATAATATGTTAGAATATACACTATTTTTAAGACTTAAAATCTTTTATTTTTCCCCACAACCAACGTTAAGATGATCGATTTGAAGGTTTTCTGACACCCGAACTGCAATATTCAATGAGTTTTGAGATGAGACTTTACTTGTTTCGATAGGAGCCCTATCAAAATATTTTCTGAAAAAAAAAAAAAATCTTTTGTGTATGTTTGAACTTTGAACTCATACACATGGGTTATAGCCATCAATGGACTACCTAAATTTTACAAACTACCTCGAGACAACGAGTAAAAATAACTATGACAACTGCCCTAACTATGATACTAATTTTTGGCCTTGTTTGGTCGCCCACTTTTTCGGCTGTGGGAATAAAATTCTTACAGTTGCTTCTCAGGGTGCAATTTCAGGAATCTAACATCACTTATCAGCAAAAAGTGACTAATAGTGGAGATTTTCTAATAAAAATGGGGGGGAGGGGGGAAGAAAGAGAAACTTTTATGTAGGCATCAACCTTATTCTGTAAAACTATTCTACTCCTTAAAAACTCATTTCAATAGTTTCTTCCGATGCTTGAAAACCCTTGAACCGATTATTCTGACCTCAAAATGCATGAATATGAAGAAAAAATGATTTAGAGTCTAAAAAATAGTGCATCTTGTAACATATTACCTACATCGTGTATTTCAATATTCTCAAGTGTACATAGATATGTTTGTTATGCACCAGAGATAGATTTTCAAGCAATCATAAAGACTTCCAATACTAGAGCGTTAATGTTTTTGATAGAGTTTGGAAAAGCACCTTAATTTGATTGTTTAAAATTGACACCTTATACAAGCCCTAACCCAAAAGAAAAAACATATCACCAATAAAAAAAACTAGGATATTGTTTTCAGACCATTTAAGATTTTCTATTTCTGGAGGGGAAAATATTTTCGCACAGCCGGGATGAAAGTAGCCGCCGGCCCTTTAATAAAACGGATCGTGCAGGGGCGGCGGCCACATGCATCCTGGGCCGCTCAGGAACCACAACCTTCCTGAAATTGAGTTACAAAACTAGGAAAGTGTCACACACCTAAAAGATGTGACAAGCACCATCACTCCCATTATCAAACACACATCTCTCTCTCTCTCTTAAAAACATTTCTCATGTCTTAATTGAAGAACATTGTTTTAAGAAGGAAGACATCAAAGTTGTTCACTCCCCATCACTAAAGGTAGGGCCTTGTGTGTCTCCCCCTCCATATCAACTCCTCAACTCATTAACTCCCTTGTCTCTCTTCACATGGAAAACCCCCTTGCTTCAAACAAAAGGGTGTCACCAGACAAGGGTGAATGAAATTATGAAAGAGGAGCCTTAAGACATCACTATAAAACTTTTCATTTTGCCTCCTCTTCCCTTTTCATTATTAAAGGACAGGATTGGCATCTATTTTAGGTCATTAGTTCACACGTGTGTTGCATGGTGAGCCACACATGTGAGATTGTATGGCCTACATTTGCTCATTCCTAGGAGATGATAAGTACTACTGCATTATTTCATTCCAAAAGATATTATGCTTACGTGGGAGTATATTGGTCAGTTACTCCCTTGGATACTCCATTTAGGAATAAATTTAGGACTCCAAAATTTCGGGATGTAACCTTCAAGCCATAGATTAATATAAATATAAAATAAAAATTCCTAATTTCCCTATATATGCACTTAAAAAAGTCTCAAAATTGGATAGAGGCCGTCCAATTTTTAGAAGGGGAGATTTAAGTGTTAGAAAACTCAAAACTAAATTCTTTTTATTTCGAAAATGATCATCTAATAATTTTTAGATGTTCCCAAAGTTTCATATTGAATAAATCATCCCAAGTAGGTCTTTTGACCGACGGAGTAGACATACATTATGCTGCCATGGGAGCATACTATATGCACTCTTATTTTTTTCGAAAATACAATGTCCAATCTTGGGATACACATGAGAAGGATGTTTTTCTTTTTCGATCTGAAAGAAAGTCTGGAACAGACTCTAGAATCACCAAATAAATATTTTCTAGAAAAAACATGTTTCGAGTTCCGAACACTCAACCCTAACAATCAAGACCCTTTCTTTTTAGCACATACTGGCTACATTTCAATTTTTTTTTTATTTTTTGGAGGTTAGCGACTATGTTATCAAGGTTCTTTTTTTTAATAGGAATGTCTATAAAGAGACCATTTATCTTTTGTATATGGAAGTCACAATCATTCTCATTCATTAGATGTCAAATTGGAAGGCTTGGGGTGAGCCATGAAGTCTGAGATTTTTTTTTTAAAATTTTGTGTCTATTCAATGATACTCATACAATACCCATTTTGAAATATGAGAGACAATAATGAATGTGACCTTCATGTACAAAAGATAAATATTCTTTGTAGATAATCCATTTCTAAATTTTGTTGTCCTAAAATTACTTTTAAAAATACTTCTAGATGGGGTAAAATTACTCCAAAATAAAGTTTTATTTAAGAGAGTGATATGTTCCTGTAGAAGTACATAAAATTTAGGCCAATGAAAGAGGATAGATCCTAGAACGTTGGAATAAAACACAAAGGTAAAATGCTTCTTTTTTTTTGGGTGAGTAAGTGGGGGAGAGTCCCTTACCTTTGGTAGAAACTCCCCTACTTTAGATATGAATTGAGCCTAAAACATGGCGTTGCAAATCATCAAGCACTAACCAATTAACCCTAAGCTCTTTTACTCAAATGCTAATTTCAATAATACAAAACTTTGGAAGAAGACAAATAATCGCCAACATTATTTATGTTGCCTTTGGATCGTAACACAATAAGGGATAAATATGAATGGAAATGAGTACAAATAATAATTCTAGAAGTCGATCCCAAAATTTTGGATTAAAAAAACCCTAGGTCTTTTGTCCAAGGGATGTGTATAATTTGCCCCTACGGGATTGCACTAGCCATGCAAGTCTATTGATTATAGCATTTTTTGTGCAGCAAAATAAACGATTATAAATTCAATAAATCAAAGAAAATGAACACTACGTTGACGTAGTTGATACAATAAAGATCAAAGGGCCACTGATTTTTTAGTAATGTTTTAAAACTCAGACTGTTAGGGTAGATCATTCATCCATAAATTAATGTTGGATTGTTGGATCGGTAATCTAGATCAAACCTAAATCGATTCGAATTAACGATCCTAAAAATATTAAATAAATAAATAAAAATAGAATAGGGGTTCATGGGTGGAGATTTAGAGTGAAGCTAAAAAAAAACATTGGATAAGCTCTTCATCGATGCGTCAGAGATGTAGAGGGGGGTTTTATGGGGTACGGGGCTTGGATCCATATCATCCCAAAATCGGTTTAGTCTCAATCTATTCCCATTTAGATCAAAAATATCAGAAAATCGTCGGGTTTTAAAATAATGGTTTTGGGACATCTCAACTGCTTAACGCCATGCAATGGAAGGAACTCGTACCTTTTGTAAATACCTATTCTGGATGCTATATTCAAGTACAATAGTTCTTGTTGTTGCCTAGGAAAAAGATAACCTTATCTCGGTGGTCCAGATCATATGGGTGCTTGCCTCTCACGACATCCCCGTGGTCCGACTTACAAAATTATTCGACTCCTTTTTTTTCTTTTTTCTTTTTGATAATATTATTTAATTTTATTAATCAATCATGGAATACCACATCTCAAGAGATGAATACATCATAAATAGAAAGAGAATGTACATGAACTCCTCGCTTTGCAGGATCATCCGCGATGTCATTCGCCTCCCTATAAACATATTGAAAAGATATCTGTAATGCGGCACACTGATCCATGCTGTTTATCCATTTTCTTCTCAATTGTCAAGGAGGCCTAGGTTACACCAATTAACGACGTTGAGGGAATGTCCTTCAAAGATGCATGGTGTATGCAAACCCCGTTGAACTATCAACTGCAATCTTTGCTCATGCGCCTCAAGCTCTATAACATTGGCAGTAATTAATAGAAATAAAATTCATAAATTGTAGCAAAGATAGGAAAGATAAGAAAGTAACAAGTTAAGAAATGCATATTGTATAAGAAAGTGTATATTGCATATGATAATATATAAAGATGTATATTACACCATTGTATTATTATATATACAATGAAAGAACCACCATAAGATTAGTATGGGGCATAATTATTTTCTCAAGAGTTCCTCTCTCTCTAAAATTTCTCTTGCAACCTCCCCGCAAGGTCCAACATAGCAAAAGATAATACCTGATTTGAATTTCTAAGAATGCCTAACCTCCCCGCAAGGCTCAACATAGCAAAAGATAATACCTCCTTCTGAATTTCTAAGAATACCTTTAAATCCTAAAGGACCAAGATTACCCAATGAATTACCATCAAATTTTAATTTCATGTTGTCTATAACAGGTGGTATCCATCCCCCCCTTTGTCTCACTTTCACTAATTTTCAATTTATCAGATTGTGGAAATTTACTTTCACGTCCACCTTTGTAACTCCAAAACCTACTTTGGTTGTAGAGAACCAACTCCAAATGGAATTTTTTATCTTTGATTTCACCATCTCTAGCTTCAAAGCCACACCCTCAAAGATCCGCCTGTTACCTTCTAGCCATATCTCCCATAATACCACCGCTCTTACAATCTACCAGATCACCCTTACCAAAATTACTTTACCATGTGATGCTTT